CACACCTTTAATGTCAGTATTTTTATGAGATAGGGACAGAGGATCTCTGTGAGTTCAAGGCCAACCAGGGATACAAAATAAGACTCTGTTTAAAAAAAAAAAAATGCCAATTCTTAAACCTGAGAATGAGAAGAATATAGACTGGAAAGAGTTGGAGGTGTCCATCGAGTCGGTTTTTGGCAACGACAGTACAGACAACAAAGCAAGGCTGTCAGAATGAAGCACACTCAATAAGCCAACCAGCCTTCAGGCTTCTAAGACAAAGTGTTTGCAAACCGAATATCTGCAAAGGGTTAATATCTAAAATAGATAAAGAATGCCTATCTTCCAAAGGCAAAACAAACAACACAGAGCTCAGCAAACTCAGGCAGATAACGCAATGGGAAAATGGGCAAAATTTAAGTCGACATTTATTCAAGGATCATTTACAAATCTACAGCTATCAACAAGTGTTACTAAATCAACAGATACAACAAAAAGATGCTTAGGGTCAGTGAATTGGCAATCAAAACCAGTATGCAAATCATGTCATGCCTGTTAGAACCACCTCACAAAGGAAAAGAAAACAAAACAGAAAGAAACTGCTGGTGAGAATGGGAAGAAATGAGAACTTTGTAATATTAGTAGGAAGATAAAATGGCATGGTTTCTGTTGAACATAAAATGGGGGTTTCTCAAAGAAAAAAACAAAACATTCCAAAACTGTAATATGAACCAACAAACCTACATCTAAATACTTACTAAGAGTTGAACCTATTTTTTTCTGGCAGATATTTGTACTAACCTCTTCACTACAGCATTATCTTCAGTGTTCATTACAGAGGAATGGATAAAGAAAATAGCCAGGAGGTGGTGGCCCACACCTTTGATCCCAGCACTCTGGAAGGCAGAGTCATGTGGATCTCTGTGAGTTCAAGGCCAGTCTCGTCTACAGAGTAAGTTTCAGGACAGCCAGGGCTACACAGAGAAACCCTGTCTTAGAGAGAGAGAGAGATAGAGAGAGAGAGAGAGAGAGAGAGAGAGAGAGAGAGAGAGAGAGAGAGAGAGAGAGAGGAAAAGAAAATAGAACATTCAGCCCAGACGAGGAAATCTTATCACATTCTGCAATATGGATGCGTCTCGAGACCATTATGATACACATAGTAAGCAAGTCATAGAAGGAAAAATATTGTGTGATTCACTTACAGGAGGTATCAAAAACAATCATCTCATCAAAGCTGAAAAGAGAAAAGGGGCTGTGGAGGGAGGGAATCCAAGGGAAGGAAGCTGCTGCTCGAGGGATGTAAAAATCCAGTCACCAGGTCCCAGAAACCCATGGTGGAACACTGCTTATAATCCACAATGCAGTAATGTGTGTGCTTAAAATGTATGGAGGCAGGTCTCACTTTGTGTTTGTTGTAAATTGGCAGGCCCTGATCATTTCAAAAAAATACTTTGGAAATATACATCAAAAGGTCATTAAAATGTTTACACCCTTTTATATAGTAATTATTTGTAGAAATCCATTCCTGCAAAATTGTAACAGATGCAGATATCTTTATAAGAGTGAAAAGTTTTAAAAATATTCCATAAAGCAGGAGTGATTAATAAATGTTGATATTTTTGATCAAATGCCCCAAATTATCATGAGGGCTTAGGAAAAAATCCCACTCAGAATATAATATTAAATGGGAAAAAGTAGGACAAAAAATTCTGTAAGGGAGGATATGTCAAATATAAAACATGCACACACACAAAAAAATGTGGGGGAGGGCCTTCAATTGGGTGTAAAAATACTTGCTACCAAGCCTGGTGACTGGAAACATATGTGTGTGTGCAGTTTCCCTCCCTCAGATAAATATGTAATGGTGTAAAACTAAGTTTTAAAAAGGAAAGCACATCATGATAAATAGGGTTATTTCTAGTCAAGCTAATGGACGATTTTTAAAGAAGGATTTCAAAAATTCATTTTCCTCATATTTTCTGAGTGCTTGGCAAGGAACTCACTTATTCTCTCAGTCAGAAATAAACATGATGCCTGTAGTTGAAGATACGGTTTAAAATTTAAATGTCTCATGTTTCACACACATGAAATCACCTTGTCCAAATATACATTTTTGAAACAGAACACTTATCCCTTAGTCTTTGTAAACATAAATATGGTGCAATCAAAAGTTACACTCTTCATTGTAGAAACATGGTGATGTATATGGTTGGTTTTATTTCAAGTATGTCAAAATAAATATAACCTTTTGACTAAAGCCTTTACTTTGAAAGTAAAAGAGGTAGATCTATCAGTACCATTGAGCTATTTGAGAAAATAGCTTGGGGGACATACATGATGGAGGGTAGAGAAGGGGCTGATGGGGGTAGCAAGGACAGCCAACCCCACCCTGGCTCTCAGTGGATTAGCAGATGGCACAGCCAGATTGTCCCACCAGCCTGGAGCTAGTAAAACAATTACATTCAGGAGGGGATAAATTCCTGTTACAATCAGATTCCTAGTGTTAGTGGGATGGTGGTCTTGTATTCTTCCTGGTGTGAGCTGCTAGCAGATACCTGATGAGGGAAAGGATGGGAATAAGAGGTGCAACTTGGCTTTTTTAAGGTCCCAGACCATTACCTCTAAGAAAGCCAAGTCCACCACCACCTCCTAGTTCCACTGTTTAATGTCATTTGAGAAGTATTCCTTTATTTTCACTCATATACACTCCCTTAAAATCAGCACAAGCAAAGGGAGATTTAAGAATCACCCACAAAGTAGGCATAGTTTCAATGAGCCCACATTGTGTTTAATGGGCTTTCAACAAATCAGACAATATCATGCATGGAAATCCCAAAAAGCTTGAATGCATTTCTGACCATTCAACATTGGGAGGTTAATCATATCAGGCCTGGGGGCTTTGGTACATAAGAGTGAGCTGTCACTGTCACATGGTAATAATTAGCTAGAGATGAGTATCTTATACTCTCTTAAGAGGGCACAGGCCACTGATGTGCCACAGTCCCCATTTTGTTCATTTGGATTCTCATGCCTGTCACCCTTACACATGTATTCCTGCTGGTGGTCAACAGACTCATTCCAGAAGCTTGCAAGGCTTAGAGTGATTGACAGACTGGTCTACTTACTAGCCACGAGCTTCCTAAAATCAAAGCCTCCACTGACACAAAAACTCAGAAAAAGCAACTCTACCTGTAAGTAACGTTCTTAAAGACAAACCTGACTAAATACTATTGTATGACATGCCTGGGTCATGCTGGGAGAGAAGAAAAAATGCCCCTGTGGAGGGCAGAGGTGTCTGGGCAGCCGGTGGCAGTGAAATGTCTGTGACAAAGCTTGGGACAGCTTATGTGACTCAGCCTGGTGTTTGAAACTTAGTAGGAGGTTAATAAATATTTGTTTCCATCCTCCTATCAGCAGATGCAGAGCTCAGCAAGGAAGAAATGGAGCCAGAATAGTGTAATGCAAGTACAAAAAGCACAGCATGTGGAGAGAGGAGGGGGTAATTGTAGCCTAGAGATCAGTAGTGACAATAGAACTGATCTGGGAAGTTCAGATGGCAGAGCTAGGTACTATAATTAGGGAGATGGGTAACTGAGGCATGATGCAAAGGACCCTTAACAGTCACACGCCTATATGTAAGTAGGACCAGAGTAAGGAAAGCCACATTAATCATCCATAAATTTAACAACACGGTGTGAAGAGAAAGACGTCAACTCTCTAACCAAGGATTGCTGGTTAAACCTTCATAGTTTCACAACAGAGAAAAACTACAAAGGATATGTAGAATAAGCAGGATAGCTGTCTTTAGTATAAGAATAGAATTTCTGTAATTAGCAGAAATAAGGTAATTGTTTAATAAAGTTTATTTTAGGCTCATCAATAGTGTGGATTTTGTTATTCTGGAGTAATCTGTTTCTGAAGCCTCAATTAAAAGAAGAAAAAGCAAGTTACTAACTGAAGTAAAATTACAGAAAAGCATGCCACTACAGTAATAGCCTGTCAGAGAGTGATACACACAGTGCTCAGCAGAAGAATGGAAGGCTACCCATGCAATTATTTCTTTTATAGCTCTTTACTTGGAGTCATAGCCTAAGTGTGTGTATGTACACTAGCTGTTTATACATCGAGTAGCTTTTGCAGTATTTATTTCTTTAAATATTTAACAGTCTGGAAAGGCAGTGACAGGCAATAATATTTGGCGTCTCTAGCATGTTGCAGGGCTTAATAAATGCTAGAATAATAAATTCCTCTATGATGAAAAACAGCAGTCAGTGAAACTATCACAGCCTACAATATTTTAAAGACACAGTAATGTAAAAAAAAAAAACAATAAAATACAAACGGTGCTTTGATTAAACCATGGTAATAAAAGAACGTTTGTATTCATTAAAAAAAAAAAGTCCACCACCACCTAGGTAATTCTTTTTTTAAATTCCCTAGGGGATTGAAAGAAGGGGCAGTGACGTAAACAAGGGATTTAAAATAACATTTAACTTTTCCTTTTTCTTCTTTCTGTCTTCCCCATTCCATCTTTCTTTCTTCTCCCTCCCCTCTTTCTTCTATCCTCTTGCACCCCATCCCCTCACTAATGGGACAGATTCTTTCAGTTTTCAAGCCACCCCCAAGAGCTTGGTTTTGGAAGCAGAGTCCCCCCCACCTCCACCCCAGGTCGGTGCGTGCAGCACTTCCAGCGTGAGCATGGACACGGCGAGCAACACGCCTGGCTTCCACCCCAGGGCCGGGCCTAGAGCCCCGGGCGCGTGGCTGAGGCCAGAGGACCCCGCGCTCCAACTTTCCGGAGGAAGTGAGGAGAAAAACAGAGCTGCCCCTTTAAGGGCTTCCCTTCCCCTTTACTCTATGTTTACATAACACGGGGCGCTCGCGGGCCGCGGGGGTTGGCGGGCGGGGGCCGCGGGAGCGCGGAGGCGCGGGCGGTGGCGCGGCCGTCCCACCTGCCCGGCCCGCTCGGCCCCCCGGCGGCGCGCGCTCCTCCTCCCGCGGGACTCGGCTCGGCCGCTCGCATTCCGTGCCGGGTCCGGCTCGTGGCGGCCGCGGAGCGCGTAGGTCCGGGGGAGGAAGCCGGCGGGCGACGCGTGCAGCCACGACGGAGCAGCCGCGGGACTGGCCGCCTCGCGCCCCGTTCGCCGCCGTGCCGTTCCCCGGCGCGCTCACCCCGTTCTCGGGATGGGAGTGTAGCGGCGGCGCGGACTCGGCGGGTATCGCGGTGGAGGCGGCTGCGGCGGCTGAACGCGGCTCCATGTTTTCCCCCGGCCAGGAGGAGCCCAGCGCCCCCAACAAGGAGCCGGTGAAATACGGGGAGCTGGTGGTCCTGGGGTGAGTTGGGGCTGTGGGCGTCGGGGCGTCCCGGAGAGATGCGCTCCCTCGGGCCCGGATCCCCGGGGCGCTCGGTGCCGCGGCCCGGAGGGTGCTGGGGCACCGCGCGGGGTCGCTCAGTGCAGCCGGGAGCTGGCGGCCGTTGGGGACCTTTGGTTTCTGGGGACCACTGCGTCGAGCCCGGGTCCCGGAGCCCAGAGCGCGTTCCGCTGGGGCTGCGCATTGTTCCGGTCTGTGACCCGGGTGGCCCGGCTGGCCTCCGCTTTTCTGCGCCCAGAGTGATCTGGGCTGAGGGCCTGGTTTTCCCAGATCCCCTCACCCACGGCTGGACCCCGGGGCTCTCTGCGCCTCTTAGGCCCCGGCACCCCTTGGTCTCCGTACCCTTTGGGCCCCTGCGCCCCTCGGTCCCGGCTTTGCCGATACCCTCGGGGCGGCGGTGGGGAGCTCGCTAGCTTGCTCGCCTGGGCTCCCACTCCGCTGGAGAAACCACATTTTGAAGGTAGTAATTATCCACAATCGTTAAACGGCGGCAATTAGAGACTTCATCTACTTCCTGAGTTTCCTTGTGACATTTCTATTGTTTACCCGTAATAAGCCAGGAGGGAGGCTTCGCAGGATTAAAGCAGAGTAAAGTGGGCAATGAAAAGGGAGTGCAAAGGGGAGGCGGAAAGTGCAAGAAACTCGGAGCTGGAGCAACTTGGGTTTAAAGCTGCGGGGAAGGATTGTTTTTCCTTTGGATGTGCCAGCTCCTGGGAACCCGCGCTTTTGTCTTCGGTTCAAAGACCTGTATTCAGACCGTCACGGGCGCTGATGGGTGGGTTTAGGCACGCGAGGAGCCCTCCCTAAGCGGAGGCACTGGGAACTTCTAGAAACGAGTTTTGCTAACTACCTTGAAGTAAGTGCCAAGTTAAAAATAATTGTTTTAAAAAGATTTAAGCTTCTAGAATTAAATCGTCTACAATTTCCTAGTCTTCCTCGGGTTGTTGCTAGCATTTTAAGTAGGGTAAGGGCTGGAAATACCATTGCTTATTTGGAAGCTCAGCAATGAGCGTCTTCCGCACCTGCATGGGAATTGTATGCACTTAAGAGAGTTCGCTGGGAAAAGGGAGGAGTAACTGGGAAAGCCACAGTTTAGTCTGTCTTATGTAACTTCAGCCCAGCCTAATTTTGTGGAGTTTGGTTTTGTTTATGTGGCTGGCTTCAGACCATGCTTAACACTGTAAATTTGACACAGAAGATTAACTTATGCCAGAGACATTTCATTATTTCCTTTTGAGGCAATCTGCTGAGATACTTCAGAGCAGTGTAGAATGAGTCTGGAGAGGTTTTGTGTTCATAACCCAAAGTGTAGGGCTCTCCAAAGCCAGGATAAGAATTTACACCCTGGACTGTTGTTATTTAGTGTCTATGGAAGTATACATTGCCTTAGCACTTACTCTGCCCTTTACTGGTGCTTTTCCTGGAGCCAGGATGGCTCAGTGATTTCTTACCTAATAGTTGGAGGAAGACCAACATTTATCTGTATCTACTACATGCCAGCTACTACATGGGCATTGGGCATTGCACAGTGGTTGATGGAACACTTCCGTTTTAGTGTTGACCAAGGCATAAAGTAGAAAGAAACACGAATAAGTGGGTAGGTAATGATTTCAGGTGTCTCCACTTTCTCAGAAGTTGGTTAACAGTGGATGGAGCATTGCAGTTATAGGTGGGTGTTGCTTCTTGCTAGCTTAAGGAAGGTCTTTAAAGGGGGAAAGATGGGATTACCAGATGCTGGTCTGGACTGTGTATTCCTGAATTGATTGTGTCTGCCTTCTCTCTGTCTCTGTCTGCCTGCCTCTTCCTCTCTCACTTATGACTCTTCCCATATTGAGCACACAAAAGAGTGCGTGTAAAATAGAGAACTAGTTAGAGTTTAATGAAGCTTTATGTTCCACCCACTGGACTTTAGAGAATACTTTTAGAAATAACAAGTGCATTTAAACAAAACAAACAAACAAACAAACAAACAAAAACCACCTGCTATCATTTTGCATGCCTGGTCCTTTGGGACATGAATATTGGTGAATAGAGACTGTCTAGGAAGTTTTCTTGATGAAATTACTCTTGAGGCTAAAAATGCTCAGCATTTGTTAATGATAGAATTTCTTCTTTACTTGTGAAGTAGTGGTTTTATTTCAACTGCTGATTTTCTTTTTTTGCTGTGTTCTGAATTTCATGGTAAAATGTTACTAGGAAATTTGGAGAGCAAACTGAAAAGTTGATTTAGGCCTAGATCTACACACTAATGCTTGTGATTCTTGTCATAGGTTGTACTATGAGAGAATGCCATACAGGATTTTATTTGATAATTCTAACCAGTTACTGTCTCATAGTCTTTGCTGTGTCCCCTACTTAATTGAATGGGGAGAAACGGTTGGCCTAACTATTAAATGCTCTTTTTAGCTGAGAAATTTAAACTTGGCGGTCACTTTAAAGTTGTGGAAGTGGTTTGGGATTTAAAAGCCATTCATTGTAGTGGGGCCCTGATTAAAGTCTTCTTCTCTGACCTACTCACTGGCTTTCTGATTTTAATTTAGTTCCTTCCTCACTGTTTCTTTAGCAATATCAAAATAGTTCCCAAGAAGCTTTTCTGGCATATACTCTGTTGTTCTGTTTCTTGGCTCAACTATGGAACATACATAGTTAACAAATTTTAAATAGCTTGACAGTTGTTGATTTTGTGAATTTTAAAGTGATAGTGCTAGAATTCACATGGGTACATGTCCAGTGTAATAATAGCAGAAAAACAGTTAGTGCCGGGCCAGGGAGAGGGCTCAGTAAACAAGTGCTTGCTGCATAAGCATGAAACCTGTGTAAAGGCATGGGACTGCATCTTTAACCCCAACACGGGAGGCAGAGACAGGTGTATCCCAGGGGCTCCCAGGCTGGCCAGTCCAGTCCAAATGGCCAGGTTCAAATTCACTGAGAGATCGTGTCTCAAAAATTAAAGTCGAGAGTGACAGAGGAAAACACTTACATTGATCTCTGGCTCTGCAGGTGTGTGTACACATCTAGATACCTGCATGTGCACATATATCCACACACATTGCAAGGCCAGTGATATGAATGCCATTTTATCAAGCAGCTATGCACAAACAGTCTTGAAAGTTGCAGTAGTGTGCAGGTTTGATTAATTGGTGTTTTATGTACAGGATCATGCAGGTTGGGTAAAATTGCTGTTCCAAGTTTCAGAAAGCAAAGGTGGGGCTGGTGAGATGGCCCAGTACCTCTGAGTGCTTGCCATCAAGCCTGGCAGGGCTCTCCTGGAGAGAGAGAGATCTGACTGGCAATTTGTTCTCTGAGCTCCATCACACCTGCATTGCAACACATGTGACCCCTCTACTCCCCCCCAAAAATAAATGAAATTAAGCAGACTAAAACAAATAGAAGGAGGCAATCTGGGGATGGAATTTAGGAGTAGATGTAGTCAGAGGTATATTATTTAGCCTTTCACAAAGAAACTGGGGGTGGGGGGAGGCTTCCTTTTCTGTTGGGACTTCTGTCCTGTCTCTGTTTTCATGGTTTCCTGCTGGCTGGTGTGCTGACTCTAGCTGAGCTGCTAGGGCCTCAGATCCCCCTCCTGAATTTTGAAGCATGCCCACCATTAGTCTCTGGGTTTTGCTCACCTCACACTCAAGTGGGTAAGGCTTAAGATTTGATATGATTCCTCACAAAATATATTTTGTTTTTGTTTGTTTTTTCAGCACTCTCAGCCAAGGGTTCTAAATCTAGGGTCCACAAATGGAATTCAGGGAGCCCACAACTGAGATTTGGAAAAAACTCTTACCTTTACAGTTCTTCACCCTAAGTCTAGCATAGTCTAGCATTTCACTCAGGAGAATAGGCCACAGAAAGTCCAGCTGCCTGTTTGTTACTTAATATCTTAAGCAAGGATGGAGGCAAGTCATAGTGGTACACAAGTGAGATCTGGGAGTTCATGGTCATGCTCTGCTAATGTAAATTCAAGGCCAGCTTGTGCTGGATCTCTCTCTCTCTCTCTCTCTCTCTCTCTCTCACACACACACACACACACACACACACATTATAGGTGTGGGCTGAGACTATAGCTCAGTGGTAAAGCTACTGCCTAGCATGTGCAAGGCCCTGCAGTGCACCCCAGCATTTCAAACAGACTCTTAAAAGTGCCAGTGATAGTTTCCAGTCTAAAGCTATTTTGATAACTAAGTAATAATTTCATTGCTAATCCATTGAAAACCATTCTTTTGGGTGGGGTGGTGGTGGTTCCCCACACCTTTAATTCCAGCACTCAGGAGGCAGAGACATGAAGATCTCTGTGAGTTTGAGACCTGCTTGTTTTACAGAGGGAGTTCGAGGATAGCCAGGGTGAGAAACCTGTCTCCAAAAACCAAAACCAAAAAAAAAAAAAAAAAAAAAAAAAAACAAATCAAAACAACAACAACAAAAAAACACCTTTTTTTCTGAGCAGGGTTCAGTAGGCTTCACCAGACTGCTAAAGGGTACTTGGCACAAAAAAGGTTTAAGAACCCTTGCAGTCAAGGTTTATCACTCACTGTTACCGGAATGAAGTACACAGGGCAGGTATCTGCTGTTGCCTTGGATTGGCAGCTGTTCTGTGAGAGCTCCGTTGCCTGACCATATTATGAACTTCATTTATTTTTTAAAGCTCTTATCCATGTTGTGCTCTTTGGACTTGCCTTGACTACCTCTGTCTTTGGTAGTAAGGAGGAAACTTACAATTTAATGTATACTTTCCCTTTCTTTACTTTTCACTCTAATTTGAGCCCAAAGATGTCAAACAGTATATCTTATAGACTAAAAGATCTTTGTTTAAAAATAAACAAACAGAGTCTTCACTACCACTCAGCTGTGGAGAGCTGTGCCAGTCTGTCTGTGGATGCCCCTCATTCTGCAGGCTATTTGGGTTGCTGTGTTTTCCTTTGCTAACTTTAGCCTTGTTTGGCATGTGCGGCTGTCTG